TTCAGTCTTTGGCGTAGATCAGCAATTTGGGCATCCTTTGATTCCTTAAATTCTTCAGGCTGATGCATTGTTGAGCCACAAATGCCATCATGTTGTTGGTCTATCGGCTCATTATTTTCTTTTTCATCACTTTCATCCTTGTTTTCTTCTTGCTGTTCATCTTCTTCTTCATGTTCTTGTTCACTGTCTTCTTCTTTCTGTCCATTTTGTTCTTTGTCTTCTGGTTCTATTTCTTCACTTTCTTCGCTGGTTTCTTCTTCTGTGCTGCTTGCTTGATGTTCTTGTCCATTGCTGGCTTCGTATTCTTCTGTGTTGCCTTCTGCTTGTTCATGCCCTCGATCTTCAGATGGATCTTGTAAAGTCTCCTTGAATTTGACAATTGCCTTTTTTAATTCTTTCTTCGTCTTTTTGCCAAGACAGAACTCCTCTGATGGATTTTTGACTAGCTGCTTGTTATCAATCTGTAACAGGAGACTCTTTTATTAGAGAAATGTTACAAAATTCACTGAGAGAAAAAATTCAAATAAGGAAAATAAAATTCATCTAAATGATACTAATGGGAAACAAACTTCAGAGAAAATTGTATGGGCCAGACAAAATTAGAGACATGGAGTTAATTTTATGAGGCAGAGAAAATTATGAAACAAACAACATAAGTTAGATATCAGAGAAAATCAATCAAGGCATATAAGTTAATGTTTTACTATAATTGTGTCAGAGAAATTTGAATTCTAGTGAAAATTCATTAGAAAGGTAGAAATAAACAGTGTTTATCAAAGATGCAAGGCATATAAGTTATGGGCAGAGAAAATTACACACAAGGAGATAAAATTTGATGGGCCAGAGAAAATTATGAAACAACCAACATAATTCAGATATTAGAGAAAATCAATCAGGGCATATAAGTTAATGTGTTACAATTGTGGTCAAAGAAATTTGGATGGCAGAGAAAATTGATTACAATGGCAGAAATAGACCAGTGGTAAGCAAAGAAGAAAACATAAATTGATAGTTCAGAGAAAATTGATCTTAATGAATCAATGCACAAGGAGGAAAACAAAGCAGTGGTCAGAGAAATTTTGGAATTTCACTGAGATTTCAGTAGCAATAAGAATCTAACTTGCCGAGGTGCAAGAGAGTGGACTGGTGTCTTCTGCAGCTGTTTCGTCAAGGTTTGCAGGTTCCACTTGGCACATCTTGGAAAGTCAGTTGTGTTACATCTTCCGAGTCAATGATAGTTGCATGTTCACATAGCCAATACTATGATGAAAATGAAAGTAAATAAAATTTTCTAAACGCACAAATTTGTAAGTATGATAACCGCAAATTTGAATGGATATTATACTTACCAGCAATGCAATAACACACCCCGTAACTTTTTCTGGAGTTTTGTGCAATGCCATGATAGAATCAATCAATGTTGATGTGATTACTTCCGACCAATCATACTGTTTCATTGATTCAAGAGGTTCCACATACTTTATAAAAACCCAACCTATTGAATTCTCACTTGTTGCAAAAAATAGGGTGAGACACAAGTACAATGTAATAATGATTGCTACATCTTTGAAGTCAGTTGGTTACTTGCCTTTCATTGCTTTGACCAAGGCATTTTTAAGAACGGGACCAGTGAGCCTTGTGTCCTTTTGGAATCTTCTCTTGAGGAATGCAGATTTTGGTTTTTTAGAATATCTTAATGACATGGCTCCTTTACCTCCTTCCAAACTAAAAATCAAGGTCATGTCATTTGTTGTAAAGGTCAGGTTCTTCTTACCAACTGTAAATGCTTTTGTTTTTTCATTGTAACATTGGATTATGGCAACTACATCATCATCGGATTTCCTAGATTTCTTTGGATCCATCCTTCCAGTGGTTAGAGCTTGGATCAAATACCAGAATGGGGTCTTTTGAAGCTCTAGAAGATGTTTTGAACTGAATTTAAGTGTTTGAAAGAAGGAGACGACAGATGAGAGGTTGGATCGGAATTGAATGCTGTAGTGAGCTCTCTTTCTATGGAGTTTAACAGGTTTTTTCCCCCTTGAGCTTGAGTCTTTTGAAGTTGGGGTACTCATCTGGATGCTAGTTGCTTCATCAGCTTGGACTTGTGTGTTTTGGGAAGGAGTTTGTGGTGTTTTAGTGCTGGTTTTTGATCTTAGATGATAAGAGGACTGAGAGAGTTGTTCTTGCTTCCTTGGTGTTTCTAGTGTTTTGCTGCTGGTTTTTGATCCTTGTGCATAAGAAGACTGAGACAGTTTCTGTTTTTTGCTTGGTGTTTCATGGGTGGAATAGGTAAGACAACTCTTGCAAGTGCTATTTATGCCCATATCTCTTGCCAATTTGAAGGTTGCAGCTTCATTGAAAATGTTAGAGAAGTTTCAGAAAAAGCTGGTTTGAAAACTCTGCAAGAACAACTCATTTCCGAAATCTTAATGGAAAAAGATTTAAGAGTAGGAAATGTTGGTAGTGCCTTAAGTACAATAAGGAACAGGGTATGCCATAAAAAGGTTCTTATTGTTCTTGATGATGTGGATGAATCAACAGAACTTGAAAAATTGGTGGGAGAGCTTGATTGGTTTGGTTTTGGAAGTAGAATCATTATAACAACTCAAAATCAACATACATTATTCAGATATGGCATAACACATATTTATAAGGTTGAGGAATTAGGAGAAGATGAAGCTATAGAACTCTTTAAATCGAATGCCTTCAGGAAACACCAACAAATGGGATGCTATGGAGAACTTGTGCATTGTGTAGTAAAGTACGCTAAAGGAGTTCCTTTTGGTCTCAAAGCTTTTGGTTCTTTTCTTTGTGGTCGAAACAAAGATGAATGGAGAAGTACATTAAACTGACTGAAGGAAAACCCTTTGAATGAAGTGCAAAAAGTACTGAGAGTAAGTTACGATGCATTACAATTGGAAGAGAAAGAAATATTCTTAGATATTGCATGCTTTTTCAAAGAAAAAGACAAAAATGATGTAATAAAAATATTAGAAAGTTGTGACTTCCACCCAATTATTGAAATGAAAATTCTTGTTGAAAAGTCTCTTGCAACTATCTCAGACAATAAACTGATGATGCATGATTTGATACAAGAACTAGGGTGGAATATTGTTCGTCAGGAATCACCTAAAGAGCCTGGGCAGTGTAGTAGGTTGTGGCTTCATGAAGATTCAACACATGTGCTGATGGAGAATATAGTAAGAGACCTTATAGAAAAGTATGAACACTCTGAACTTATTTATTTAACAAAGCTAATTCAGCATAATTTTGTCAGCCTTTTAATGCCGTGCTGCTGTTATTTTCTTGTGGTTATTAGGGAACAAAAAAGGTTGAAGGCATAGTTGTGGAGTATCCTGGCCTTCGAAGTCGAGATCGAAAGGACATTGGATAGACAGAATTACAGAAACATGTTCAAGAATAAGATAAAAACACAAAAAATTGTTTTTCTGAAAATAAACATGCCAGAGAAAATTGAAAGAAGAAGCGTACATTAATCAAAAATCAGAGAAATTCAAATGCTAGAGAAATTTACAGATAAAATCACACAAATATGTTGAAGCATAATTTCAAAATACACAGAAATAAATTTTTTCAAATTCAGGTAGCTTTTTATTACGAAATTGAAACCCTAATTTATGAAAGGTTATTATAAAATGCTATTAACTGTGTTTCCAGAGAAAATCTAGTTGTATTGTAGAAAAACTGACCAGAGTTAGGATGAAACTTGAATGATGAGCTGATATGGCCCGTGATGAAGATGCGACGTGACGAAGATGGACTGAGATGATGATGAGCAGTGAAAACGAAGCTTTAACCTAGGTCAGAGAAATTTGTGAGGAAGGAATGGGAATGATTTTTGGAGAAGATAACGAAGCTCTAATGTCGATGGTGCAGATGATGTTGAAACCCTAATTCTGCTGTTCTCCTGTTCGTGAAGATGCTGGATGTTTGGAATGTAACTCAGACGTCGGAATGAGTTTGTTTCTGTGTTGATTTTGGCAAGGGTATTTTGGTCCACAAAATAATTAAAAACGCGCGCCAAGTTGTTTCAGGGACGTGATGCATCACTATCTTTTTGGGTGTCCTTTATCCTCTAAATTGTTATTATTAGAGACCTTAAAAAAAATCCCCAATTTTAAAACTACAGGAAGCGATTTGTATTTTAATAAAACCTCATGAGGTGTATTTGTAATTTACCCTAATTTTTAATTTAAATTATTTATCTATTTTTGCTAAGCAAATCAATAGAAAAAAAATATTTTAATCATTAAACTCAATATAAGTATATATAAGATGTTTAAAATATTCTTTTTTATTGGGAAAAATTAGTCTAAGGTCTCTCTCCTATTTTTGATGATAGAAGAGATCCACAGTATTTTTTTTATGATGTTTAAGGTCTCTTCCCATATATCACAGAGAAATTTAACTCTCCCAGATCAAACTCATTTCTTTCTCTCTATACCTTCTCTATTTCATCTCCCTCTCTCACCAGCAGCTGGGACTCCGAGCTCCGCCTCTGGGACCTCTCCACCGGCATCACTGCTCGCCGCTTCGTCGACCAATCCAAAGACGTCCGACAGAAGAAAAAACAGCGGCCCTGTTGACCCTAAGGTCTAATTCTCTTTTTTTCTCTATCTCTATATGTATTTGATCAGTGATTTAGGGTTTTGGGTTTTGATTTTGATTGTGTGATCTAGGTTTGTGTTTATTCATTGCAGTCACTGTGCAATGCATGTGGGATCAGAAGCGGGAAGAAGAGGAGAGCACTTTTGGGTCTGAAAACAGAGCACAAGAAATTAACGAAAACCATAACAATTACAGCAATGAAAGCAACACTAGTAAATTGGGTGATTCATTGAAGAGGAAGCTATTAAGGCTTGGGTGAGAAGTGGTAATGCAGAGATCGTCGGTGGAGAAGCTGTGGCGGTGGAGGAAGTTGGAGGTGGAGGAGCAAGCAGTTGTGCTGTTGATGGCTCCGTCATGGGGCTGTGTTTATGCTTAGCCCTTTTAGATTTTTTAAGTACTAATTTTAGTATTATGATTATTATTTGTAGTAGTAAATGAGAAAGAAGATTTTAATGTTGTCAATAAATGTATCTTCTAGTAACTTTTCTAAGTTATTTTTTTTTTTTGTTTTATTTTCTTTTCATATTCAATTGGGCTTAGTTTTGATGATTGTCTACTAACTATGTTTGAGAGTTTGAGAAGAATTGAAGAGGAATGTAAGAATGGGAGGAGATTAATT